CTGTGAGCCTTGGCCATTTCATTCCCAGGATTACACTCATATACTCGCACATGTGCAAAATAAAGTATGTACAAGTATTCTCACTGCATTATTAGTTGTAATGGCAAAAGATCAGACACAACCTAAATGCACATCAAGAGGCAAGAGGTTAAATAAATTACAGTACACCCGTAAAATAGAAATTGTCTTTCAGCTAGCCATTAAAAGTGACGCAGCAGTCACAAAAGACTATAAGTTATATGATTTCATTTACATAAATTGTCCAGAATAGGGAAATCTATAGAAATAGAAAGATTAGTGGCTGCCAGAATCTGGGGACATTGTAGAGAAATGGAGAGTAAATGCTAATGGCTACAGGGTTTCTTTAGGGATGATGAGAATGTTCCAAAATGTATTATGGTGGTAACAGAACAATTATGTGACTATACTAATACCACTAAATCATACACTTTAAATGGGCGCACTGTATATTATGTGAATTATATTTCCATAAAGCTATTATTAAAAAAGTGATGCAGCGCTATATGGAATCATAGGGAATCAACTCCAAGATGCACTGGTCTATAAATAAAGGTAAAGAACATTGTGAACAGTATGACATAATTTGTGTTTTCTTTTAAAAAAAGATACACATACTCACTTTATTGGCTTGTTATATGAAAAACAGAAGAAACTAGTGAACAGAGTGTTGCTTTGGAGGAAAGGAACTAGATGAACAGAGGAGCAAAGACTCACTTCTCCTTCTAGGTCTTTTTGTACTTTTGAATTTTGTACCATGTTTGTATTATCTACGGAAAACACATCTCTAAAGCAAGGTATCCATTATAGCTTCCATTTATCAAATACTGTTTCTCATATTCTATATTTTCTAACCAGTAAGATTTAACTATGATGAGTAATTAATTTTATATTTAAAGTAATAACAAAGCTTAGCAACTACCTGATCTTGCAAAAAATCAATAGCCCTAAGTAGGTGATTCAATTGGTTGGAGCACTGTGCCATACACCAGAGTTGCAGTTCCATTCACAGTCAGGGCACATACCCAGATTGTGCATTTGATCCTGGTGGAGGTACATATGAGAGGCACCCGATCACTGGTCTTCTCTCACATCAATGTTTCTCTCTCTCTCTCTCTCTCTCTCTTCTCTCTCTCTCTCTCCCCACCCCCCTCGCTCCCTCCCCTTCACCTTCCTTCTTTTCATCCTTATCCCATTTCTAAAATCAATAAATACATATCCTTGGGTGAGAATTAAAAAAATAATAATGACAATAATAATGACGATATTAAGCAGCAAATGACAGCCTAATTTATTATTTTCCTTTTTCTGTTGCTTTTCCTGTTATGAGTTACTTTTTAAATTATGTTCATTAATTGGAAACTCCATTTGAAGGTGACCAGGAAAACTGACATAAAAAGAAACATATTTGTTCTTGATATCTGTCAGGTCTATTAAGAGATCTGGTAAAGAATATCATTAAAATTATTATTGAAAATAAAGTTAAGAAATAATCGCCAGGACCGGTTTGGCTCAGTGGATAGAGCGTCAGCCTGCGAACTGAGGGGTCCAGGGTTCGATTCCGGTCGGGGGCATGTGCCTTGGTTGCGGGCGCATCCCCGGTGTGGGGTGCGCGGGGGGCAGCTGATCAATGTTTCTCTCTCATGTTTCTCTCTCATCGATGTTTCTAACTCTCTATCTCTCTCCTTTCCTCTCTGTAAAAAATCAATAAAATATATATTAAAAAAAAGAAATAATCCATAGAATCAATTTATGATAGAATCAATTTAATTGTACTATTTCAACTTATACTTTGCTTCTGACCAATGAAGCATGTTCCTACTATGAAACCTACTAAAGATATATAGCCAATATTGAACAGCCACAATTTTAGAAACAGGTTTTTTTGTGTAGTATAAATTGCACTGGAAAGATCTTTAGAAACGGTTATACATACAAGTGCACTTCCATAACACTCATAAAACTTCCCTTTGTATACAAACTGCATTCCCACTATTTCGCCTGTTGCCTTGACAACTAATTCACATGAACAGAATTAAGCATTCATTCTTCAGCGTTTCCATAGCATCATACATGTATCTTTATATGCATCACATGCCACTGTAGTTATTTGTTTATATGTCTGTCTTTCCCACTGTGCTTAGCTCCTGTGACAGAGTATCTTATTCATTTTTGTAATTTTGGAACCTAACACAGCCCTTGCATATAGGAGACACTCCCATACGTAAGCCTGCTGAATGATTTATTATGCGTTAAGAACACTTACACTGCCCTTAAACTATCAGCTTTTAAATCACAATGATGTAGAATTAACTCTTCATTACCCACACCACTGCAATCTCCAAAAGAGAAGGAAGGACACACATGCAGCTCCAAACCACAAATGATCGATTCTCCACAGGAACGAGGCTAACACTGAAACCAATCAGGCTGTACAAAGCGCACACAAACAGAAAGCGGTGCCAAGCTGGCAGGGCAGCTTTTGGATTATCCTTTGTTATTTTAGTGGATGTACTGTATCTAAACCACAGTCTATCGAATGTTCATGGATTTGCAATGCTTGAATTTATCCAGTCTCTGTGACAAAACAATGCATTGGGATGCAGGGACATTCTACAGCAAAAGGGCTATCAACATTTGACCATTCCCTGATCTCTGTTGGTTCAACATCAGTGCCAAATAAAACACCAACTCTAGTGTCCAAACTGAAGCCACTACTTCCACTTATTCTTTCTTACAAACAACCAATAAATGAAACAAATGTATTTTCTTAATATAGGTAATCAATTCTTAAATACCTACAGGATCAGGGCCAAATAAAACAACAACTCTAGTGTCCAAACTGAAGCCACTACTTCCACTTATTCTTTCTTACAAACAACCAATAAATGAAACAAATGTATTTTCTTAATATAGGTAATCAATTCTTAAATACCTACAGTAAGCTAGCACAAAATTCCATGGCTAACTGACAGGGGTACATGAAAACACTCATTTACTTCAAAAGTCAAGTAAATACCTAACCAAAATTTCTATCACACCATCTAATGAGTGATACTGGTAGATTCAAGTTGTAGCACATTTTTATTATCCTCTTAACTACCCCAGGAAATTTTATCAACTAGTAACTTGGCAAAAGGGAAGTAATATATATTAAAAAAAGGGAAGTAATATAAAGGTAAAAGTTACAAAATTGAATAATTCCAGATGGTTTACCAGACCATATTAGCAAAACGACAAAAAAAAACCTAAGAAACTTCTAATGATACAAAGGAAATCTACGGGGCCATTACTTTTAAGCTTACCTTAGCTGGGAATGAAAAGATTAAGCTTTTAGTAACAGTCCTGACATAAACCTTCAGCTAATCACTCTCTCCTAGGTCCCAGACTTCTAACCAGTAAAAATGACTGGAATAAATGAGCTACAAGGTCCTTTCCACCTCACATTTTCCCATAAGTAAAATTTAAAAGTAAAGATTTTAAAGATAATATAAGGTACAAGGAATTTTTTCTAGTCACCAGTTCATTATTTGATTCTTTTCACAATCATTTTATAATTATTCTACCCAGATGTCAATCTATGAGTACCAATTAATGGGCCAATTAATGGCTCCCTTCTCTATAAATAAAAAATTAAATAATAGTTTCTTTAGCCTATAGCAACCTAAACTATAATCCTGGTCATTAAGTTTTAATATTTTTCAATTACCAATTACTAACAGACCAAGTTCATTGGCTTTGTGTCCCATTTACTCCAACAATATTTTCAAGTAATGTGGAATACCCAAAGTTAGCATATAAAAGGAGCAGGTGCACAAAAAGGTTCCTCTTGACTTCTTAAAGGGGCTCTGATTTCACACTTGCTCTGCCTTACAGGTGAATTGCCTCTCTATTGGCTTGGGTTTTCTTTCATGATTAACAAGAACACAAGTGTTCCTGATGGGTTCCCTGAAGGAAGGCAGCTCTATTGCAAGTTCCCCACCGTGACTTCTACTATTTTGAAAATTCAGTAAACAGCCACCTCTCTGTCCATCTTCACTTTTGGCCACAAATCTCAGTTCCTCCTGCACATGGAATAGAACTTGTTGGTGCCAGAGTCCAAGTGTTCTCCTTTCTGTGACGACGCACTACCACCTTCCTCCCCATGACATTACACAATGAGCTTCCACTGGGTCATTCAACAGGCAACTGCTGCCAAAATCACTTTAAAATCTTATTACTTCAGAGAGTGACTTTAAAAAAAGATCTTTCTTCCTCCTGAGTCTGTGTAAATCTCTTTTTTTTCCTTCTAATTTTTCTTTGTGTTCAATTTCTAACAGGAATCTTGGGTAGCTCTCTGAGGTACAATGAAGTCCAGTGAAAGGGATCTTGTCTATTTGGAAAAGAAGCATTATATGACCTCTAGCAACTCTTTATCTGTACAAATACTGACTTTCTGGAGTAATGAGATCAGTCAGTGTACATGGCTGTTTTGTGAAATGTGCAAACAATATCACCTATGCAGCATTATTTCCTCTGGATTGTACTGTCATTAGAAGCATATTGTATTACAGAGCTATTCTGATATTTTAAATATAAAGATGTATTGTGTTCCACATACACACACCTGAAATTGTTACATTCTTAATTTATAACTGCTTTTTAAATGAGACATTTATCTCGTAATTTTAACTTGGGAATAAGCTTTCGGTAAAAAAAAAAAAAAAATGCAGCATGGTTTATGCAAAAAAAACAATCGGGAATTCCTGTTGGCCTCCTCCTTAAGCCTGGTGCACAGCCTGGCAGTGTGGCCTGTCAGGACGCAGGAGGGTCCTCCTGCATGTCGCTACTCAAGTGTCTAGTGACAATGCAGATTCCACGCTCCTGCACCAATATGCTGAGAAGTGCCTAATGATGCTGATGTACTTACAATCTCTGCAATTATTGTATAAAGTCATAAACATATATCAATTATGTCTAAAAAGAAAAAAGTTTTCACTGACCTGGAGCAACCACATTCACTCTAATTTTCTTTCTTGCTACTTCTTTAGCAAGGGCACGTGAAAATCCAACCAATCCTCCTTTAGTAGCACTGTACACAGACTGACCAGCATTGCCTTTTAAACCAATAATACTTCCTAGAAAGAAAACAAAAGGCAAATTCAAACCAATTCAGCGGGGTTGTTAACTATGGAGATAATTTATACTAAGGAAAAAAAAGGTACAAATCATTTTGCTTTGTCCTTTGCTAAAATTAGGAATTCTGGCCATTGTCACTTGGGTGGTAAGAGTCTGAATCTGCTCCAGATACACAGGAAACAGGATTTGAAAGATTCATATTTGAAACCTCAAATGCCAAGTGGGGTTTGAGAACTGATCCATTAAATGAAAGAAACCCACTTCTATCTCTGAATAAGTCAGACATAATAAAAATTTTACAGTATTTACAGCAGCTTCCAGTAGGAAGAGGATTAAAACTAGAAAAAGTCAGATAATGGCTCATTAATTTCATGATTCTACAACACAGACATAAGAAAGCATTCATTCCCACCTAAAAAAAAAGTTCATCTGAAGATAAATCTCACTAAATTTGAATTACTGTCCATCTAAGAAAACTTCGATTACAAACTTTTGATAAAATTGCAATTAGTTACTTTCAGTGATGTATTATAACTCACATTGCCTACTAAAGATTCTTAGATGGCCTCATTTATATGAATATGAAAGAATAATTTATAATTCAAATATCAACTGTATGCAAATAAATTCATACAAAACTTAAGTGGGGAAGTAATTTTCTGCACCACTGAGTGACCTGTACTTATCATATAAAATTAAGCAAGAACCTCACAAAATATTTGAAGTAATTTTATTTTAGAAAACATTCCAAATACTTTTCATATTATAATCAACAAGTCCAATATTAAAATGCTTATCTACACTGCATCTTAATAACAAATGATGAGAATGTGAAGTACAGAAAGAGAAAAGAGAGCAGACAGAGGAAATGAAGATGGACAGAGCAAGGTGCATTTGG